CACATAGATGCATGCCATTGTGTGCTAGTTCAATTATACGTGTTCGTGAACTATCTGGTAATGGTGAACCATTCACAAATAAATCTTCAAGTTGATTAACTTCTGTATGTCCTGGGTAAAATAAAAAATTTCAAATAATAATAATAATATTCTCATTGAACATTCATGATTAGCAGAAAAAAAAGAACAGTAACAATACTTGAAATTTATTGCACTGTCTAAATAAAAAATGTAATCACCAGTGATGATTGATCATTTTCTAATTTTTTTGTCAAAACTAAATGAATTTGTTATATATACAAACAATAATCTTACAGATATTTGAATTTCAATTTTTTTTTCAATTAATACATATGTTTGATCTAGTATTTAAAGTGTAAGGATCATTTACCTTTATTCGATCTTAATAAATCATTATGAATATCCATTGTATAGATGAACTAGAATAAGAAAAATCAAGTAGAAATAAATTCATGCAATCAGAACAATTAAAATCTGAATAGAACAATTTCTTTTATTCACGAATACCTAAACGAAGGAATGTACTATTACTCAGTAGTTACATTACCAGATAACAGTAACGACTAGTTATCTAATAACTGCACACATAACGTAAAATTTCTAACTTGAATAAAAAAAAAAGGATATTTTTGAAAAATAACGATATATTTTCTAAAATTTTAGTTAAAGGTTTTCGGGGTTGAGAAATTGAATCTATAAGTGATTTCTAGAAATTTTCTAATCCTGGTTTTTGTCTTTACTAAGAGTAGAAAAAGTTCACTGTTTTCAAAAAATATCCTTCTCCTAACGAAAATATCAAACTTACAAGTTTTGAGAAAGCAGAAATCTTTGATCAAAGCCTTAGGAAATCTCGTCATTTTTCAAAAATATCTTTTCCTTACTCAAGTCAGAAATTTGAGATTATCGATTACAGTTACTAATGTTACCCTGACTTGATAGCTAGTAACGAGAAAGACACTGTTTATCAGGCATCCAAGAACTAATAACTTGTACTTTACTAGCTACATGATAACATAACCGTTACGGCAAATGGAAATGAATGCCTGTCTGTGCCATTCAGCACGACGTTTATTGGGCTAGGTCACCATTCCAATTGTATCTTATTTTTTCTTACATACGTATTATATAGACGCAGATAGAGGTCAAGCGGTCACACATGGGAGACATGAATAAAGACAAAAGGTCAGTGCTAGGTGAATAGGTCATAATATATAGAGGATATAATATAGGACAAGTGAGCATAACGGTCAATGATCGTTACAATAGCCAACGGTAACAGTAAATTCCCTTATTTAGATATTCTTGAATAAAAAAATTATTCTATTCAGATTTGAATTGTTTTGATTGCATGAATTTATCTCTACTCGAATTCTAATTTTGCCAAGGCAAATTTTAAAGTTGTCTGAATTTTAATTTTGTCTACAACATATGCGTGTTCGTTCTCTTTCTTTCTATCAGGTATTTTTCCATATTGTCACTTAGATATATCTCAACTGTATCATAAATATCCTCGGTATATTCCATCTTCTCGGACATATATACCTTCTACATAAGTGTATGGACCGTGTGAGTGTGATCATAGTCTTGAAATAAACATCATATACACAACAACGTATTAAGGACAAAACATACTTGTTACCGTTACGAAGTAAGGTAGAGTTTCTGATACCCGCCAACTAGTAATTTCAAGGTTATTAGTTACTTGGCAACGTAATGGTAACTTCCCTCGCTTACTTAAAGTTCACTGAATTGGAACTGGTTTCGGATCACACAGAGGCGGGTGAACAACGCGCTCCCACGGATTTGGTTAGTTGGCTCCCTATGAACGCTCGATTTATGCGCTTACAACTGGAAGCATCGCGACAAAACGTATATACAAGAGAAAAATCGGACGAACGTATAACGACACGAAAAAGAGAGCGAAGTAGTGAGAGAGAGGAATGACGAATAAAAATGCCATAAGAGAGTCGACCGGCGGCAAATCCGATTGTTTGTCGGTCTTTTTTTCTTGTCCTTCTCGCTCTAGTTTTCTGCTCTAATGAGCGTATTTATCTCTCTCTCATTTTTCTTATGTTATTCTGACTGGCTACTTTTTCTTTCTCTTCATCTTGTCATTCAGATAGACGATGCCAAAGTTGCTTCGTGACAGTCTGATAGGCAATGAAAAGAAGAACACAAATTAACCAATGGTTGCTTGATTTCTTTTTTCCTCTTGGGTCGTTTAATGATTGATTACTTTTTTCTCGTTCGTCATTTTTCTTATATATATCTGTATTAAGAATTCCTTGGTTTTTCTTCGTCTTTTTCTTCTTCCTCATCGCCTTCAGGTACCGCGTCTATTGAGACTTATTACTAACCACCAAAAGAGTGAAAGAAAGTGGGCCTGATTACACATATAATAGAAAAAGATATTAGTGGTCAGCAATGACAATTTTCAACGGAAGACAAAGAACGATAATCATTTCTTCGGCTATTATTATTTCATAATTTCTACTTGGAAAAATCTTATAACATTTACGAAGTCATTATCAGATCATTTATATTTATGTTATGTGTCTTGATTTGGTATTTTCGGACAAGAATAAGAATGAAAAAAAATAAAACAAAACATACAACGCCTAGAAAGTTTAATTAAAAAACAAAAAGAAAAGAGAAGACAAAAGGATTCGTTTGTTATTGTCGTCAATGCTTAAGAAGTAACAACGTCGACAACAATTGAAAAATAAGGATTAGACAAGATGTATAGGAATTTAAATAAAATGATTGTTTCTTATTGAATTGAATAAAAAAAAAATACCCTTAAGAAAAAATCATCTAATTTTAGTTTTTTTTTCTTATACAAATTCATTTATAAATGATTTGTATATTTTATTTTATAGGACCTTTCCTACGTAATGTAAAGAAAGACATCATAAATTTCATACTTGTTTTTAAGGGTATATGCACAAGCATTATATTAAAAGAGATATGTTAATATTTGTTTAATCTTAAAGCGAATATTTCAATCCTAAGTATGAACCAAGAGTATACGCTTTGTATTAGAACTCACTGGGTCTTTGTCTAAAAATAATATAATAAATTAGTCGAAGTCCAAGTCCGAAAAAGTTTAATTTTGATGAGCTATGCTCTGCGTTCTCTACTTTTTGAAAAAAATTTTTTTTTGGGCAGAAAAAGAAACTGCCTATTCAAGGATGTGTAAGCGAAGACATTACAAGCCTCTGGACTGGAAACCCAAAAAATGGAAAGTTATACTTTTTATTTTTGAACTTAAGTACATCTGTATATGTTACCATTTGTAAATCTCATAGCAATGTGCCTTTTACTTTTTCTGTATTTAAGAAATTCGCTGCAATTACAAAAAAAAACCGTTAGAGATTAATTCTATAAATTTTCAATGGTTTTTATTTTTTTATATTCTTAAATGTCTATCATTTCTAAAAAATCTTAAATAAATGTGTCTCTCTCGCGCATGCATTTTGTCAATCATTATCAACAGCAAGTAGAATAAAATATATACGTCTTCCAATATTTGACGTCATAAACAAGCGTATTTTGATCTCAACAATTATCTTCTTCGTCTCTTTTATTTTCATCTATGATCAGAAGGTGTGGAGAATCTACCAGTATGTTGCAGCAACGCAGCCGAGAAAAACGGACTTTTCGGAGAAAATCGTGAAAAATCTCTGATTTTTACATATATGTACCAGGAAAACTTATTGCTTCTCCTCTGTCTAATTGAGGGAATGTCCGGCAGATTCTGCACACCTGATGATCAGAATCAATGTTGCCACCGTTTGAAGCCCGAAAAACAGAAGAGGTGGCAGCTTTGCTAAAGACATTGTAAAAAATACTTCGATATCAAATAAAATTTTTTCATATATCCAAATTTATTCTTTAGTCATATTCAACTAGAATGCCATATTATAGGCAATAAAATAAAGAAAAAATTATAAATATACATAATTCTCTGTAATTCATCTCTATTGAAAATACTGGTTCGAATCAACAGAAAAATAATTCATATCTCTTCAAGACTTTTAGATTTTTTTTATGCAGTTAAAAATAATTGAAACATTTTTTTTTCATAAATAATATATTTCTTTTGATGTAAATAAGTTTGACTAAGAAAGTATTTACGGTGGTACGAAGAAGTCGGAGCAGGGAGGAGGGCGATCCGAAATTCGGAAAAAGAGTCAAAAAGTTTTCTTTTGCCATCCCTGCGTTCTTTTCGAAATAGCTACGCTTTCCGACGTTCCTTGAACTGCGCTGACCATGCTCCATGCATCAATACTCAGGCAAACAAGGGCTCATTTTAATGCGTTAAAATGTGCCATTTTTTACGTTGAAAAAAACGCTAAAAAAACGATTTTGATTTTTGAAAAAAGCAATTTTATGGACTTCATCATCTCTGAACTTATCGTTGTTTGTGGGAAAAAAAAAACTTTTTTTTGAAATCGTAGGGTGTGGATGTACTTTCAAAAATGACCCATACGTCCACACCGACACTCATACCCATTCATGCACTTCAATAAAATTTCAGATACGATGGTATTTCTGCACATTTTATCTCATTCTCATCCAGTATTGTGCATCTGTTGACTTGTTTTAGACCTTGTGTTTGAGATGATCAAAGAGAACATGAAATATCTAACGTCAAGCAAATGAGTAATTATCTCAGTTGACTATTCTTGTCAGTGATCATAATACTGTTATCTAAAATGTTGCTGTTATCAAATGACGTCAGCCGAGTAATGACATATTTAGTAATCTTATCTTACATGTGCCCGTTCTTCTTCACATATACTGACGAAATTAAAACTCTTCTGTATATAAGTCAGTATATTAGAGTATAACTCGAAATTCAGCGCATTGAAAAAATGGGCAATAGTAATAGTAGCGCAATTACAGTTCATCTGGATCGAAACAATCCATTTTATTTCTCTGGTGAAATCGTATCGGGAACCGTTGGCCTGAATATCATGGAAGGACATGTAGAAGCGGATGAAATCTATCTTGTCTTGACGGGTGAAATTGGATATACAACAACTCGAACTGTTTCAACTGGCAGAGGTCGAACATCAACACGAACAGAATATCATCATGTTCCATTCTATTCTGCTAAAGTGAGTTTTGCTCAACCTGAATTTGGACAAAAACAATTGGTCTATGGTCAAGGACAATATTCTTGGTCATTTCAAATTTCATTAACAGATTATCTTCCACCAACGATTAATCAACCTCTATCGTATCCTCATGTTCGATATTATTTACAAGTTGTAATTGATAAATCATGGTATAAACCAAATACAAGAGAAACAAAATATTTAACAGTATTTCCACGTGTTAATTTATTACAAAATCCTCAATGTTTAATATCAACTATGTTTGGAAATCAAAATCGAAAAGATATCGTACTAAAAGGTTCTTTAAATAAATTAGGATATGTTCCTGGTGAAGCCATTCATATAACATTAGATATTGATAATTCACGACGAGTTTTAATTCAACGTATTGTTCTGTCATTGTTACAATCATATCAAATAGGACGAAATTCACGTGGATATACTGTATTTCAAACAATATTACCAAATATTCTGAATATAAGAGATCAACAAAGAAGAGAACCATTTTCAATAATCATGCCTTCTGTTCCAATACCACCTTCCTATCAATTTCAAGGAGGACTTCAAAGACTTGCTTTGGTGAATATTTCTTATATACTTCGACTTGCTGTTAAAGTCGAAGGACTATTTACTAATTTTGATGTGAATATACCAATTACTATCGGAACAGAACCATATCTTGATTCCAATCAACAACCAACACCGAATTCAGTGACAGTTTCTTATTCTTTAAATCCTGAACAATCAATGTTTAAGGATGATGATCTACCACCTAGCTATGATTCTCTTGGAGAAAATATTAAATGATTTTTTTCTTGTATTTAAAAATGATTGAAATAGAGAAAGGATAGGTCGATAAAAAAAATATGTGAAATAAAGACGAACAGAATAGTATGTGGAAAAATCTAAGAGAAGAAAAAAAATGACATAGAAGTATCGTGTCAAGAGAAAGTGATGCATCATTCATCAAGAGAGAAGAAAGAAAATGTATGAAAGTCAATTCGAAATTTCTACTTTCTAAATTAGAGGATCCATCAAGTAGCCATCGATGTTGTTTGTACCAAACATATTTCGGTAGTAACAGTACCAATTGCTTTGAAAGCGCTCTTGTGGATCATAAAGTCGCTCAAGATGAAGAAATTCAGCAAATTGTGGACAACAAGTTTCGGCCTGTGAACGAATGGCATACTTATGATAGGTCAAATAATAACTACTACCACGCTTTATAGCCATGTCAATCAGGCGACAAAAAGCATTATCCAAATGTTCTAACCCAGTCGAAGTATGAATCGTTTTTATGTTAAAGATAATACAGGCATAGGACTACATGGCTCAAGCTAAAAAAAACTTTCTGTGTCCTGTACAATCAATCGAATAGTTCCATAGGCCATATTAACCTTGTTGACTCGAAAATCTTCTTGAGCTTCAACAAGAAAGTCGGGAAGTTCTGGACGAGGAACATAAATTTCCGTAATGATTTCGGTGGCTTCTTCTCCTAAACCGAGCCAATGATCAAGTTCGTGGTGATAATCGTCCAAATAGATACTTAATTGATGGGTATCCGATGCATAGATTTGGTCAGATGTCGATAGATAATAAGTTGAATATTAGCAAAAGACTTTAGCTTTGTCAGTATATGACAGATAATAAAGATTATCCTAATAGTCTTGGAAAAGTTCTTTCTGATTCTCAACCATTTCCATGGTTGGATCAACTGGACGATAACAGGAGAAGACATCGCAGTATAAAAAGTCGTCCGATTTCTCGTAGATAGAAAATTGGAAGTCACCATAGAGAAAACCGGCTTGAATACGCTTTTCAAAAGCTTCCAGTAGTTTGTTAACCATCAAAATTTCCACGACTCGTTCTATCTTTTGTCGTCGTGTTAAGCGTAATGTTACGGAATAAATCACACCAAACAATCCGTAACCGCCAATAACTAATCCAAAGAGTTCTTTATTTTCTTGACGATTGCACTTGAGACAATCATCTTTCGTATCTACCAGGGTAGACGACTCGATATCAGCAATGAGAAGTTGCAACTTCAAGCCTCGACCATGAGCTTGAAGGGTGTGGGTGTGGGTTTAGATAATACTCTATTCCATACCTATCATCCACACCCATATCCAGTCACACCCACATCCACACTCTTAAAGATAGCACTAATTAGAAGACAATCAAACATACTAGTTGTCTATAATGCTACTTTCATACACAGCTGTGTATGATGAAATATAATGGAATACCGACTATTATGTATGCGTTAGATTATACCATAGAATAGGATTGTATAATTAGGTAAATATTTGCGATGGCTATGAATATAATATGTGACGTACGATTATCATCAATTTGATCTGAATATCGATGAAGTGTGCACTTTTCAATTGCATCTCATATATTTACGTACAAAGACTTTTTTCCGTGAAAGTTTAATGAGTATTGCTCGTTTTCGTCGCATGATTCATGCGACAAAAAACACGACACAATTCAATCCTGTCGAAAATGTTAGAAGGATCTGTTATGTTCATGTCAACCTTCTTCAAATTTGAGAATTCTTAAAGATTAAATCGCCCATAACTCTGTTTCAAAAATAGATTTTTCATTGACATGAATATGTGAATAATAACAGCGATTCTTTGGCAACTGGTTGGAGTCAAAAAAAAAATAGTCAATCCATTGCACAAACAATCAATTGTTCTTACAGATACCGCTGCTCTGTCACAGTTCATAATAACGCTTTAGACACATTGCAGCAAATGAGATAGTAATAGTCTAAAAAACTTGCCACTGGTTTCTTGAACAGCACTAGAAAATAACTGACAAATGCTATTAGTTCTTTCACATCCTGTCAGCCATAATATCTTTGAAACGTTTCCGCTTAATAAAACATATTCGAAGTAAGCATCTTATAACGCATAATAAATTCTGAAAGATGAAATATTTGCTTTCGACTGTAGGCGTATCGTTTCTTTTCTGTTAGTATATAAAGGTAAAGGTGAGCAGTTGGTCTATGCAATAGGAATATTAATATTCAAAACGGTAAATATAATTCAAGATAATTATGAAACTGCTGCTGCTTATCCTTCTAGCGGTGACTGAATGTAAGTAAGGGTTTGTAGCCCAAACATTTATTCGAACTGGTTTTCTTTGTCTAGACTTCTTAATAGCTGTAGCCAACGATGAACTACCGTTCCGAAGAATGCTCCTACGCCGTCTGTTAAAGAATCTCAGGAGTTTCAAATTCCACCAGGAACAATTCTGGCGTTTGCAGGTGCTACTAATCCCAACGGTTGGCTTAAAGCAGATGGATCGATCGTATCTCAGCAACAATATCCGGCTCTTTTTCAAGTCATTGGCGATTCCTATGGCGCTGGAGATCAAGTAAATACATTCAAGCTGCCTGATCTTCGCGGTCGAGTAATTGTTGGTAGTGGCAAAGGAGTTGGTCTTACTAATCGACTGTTAGGCAATCAATTTGGATCCGAACAGCATGCGCTGACTCAAAATGAAATGCCAGCTCATACTCATCCAGTGAACGATCCGGGACATAGTCACGATATGGGAAGTCCTACACGTGGTCAAGTCTGGGGTGTCAGACCTGACAATGTTCACTATTGCTATGGAATCGATAATAGTGGTGTTATGAACAATCCACCGACATTGAAAGCCCAGACAGGCGTTACCGTACAGTCAGTGGGCGGTGATGCTCCTCATGATATTGTCCAACCATCAATGGCATTCAATTACATAATCAAATATTAGTCAAAACACACAATTATCAACTCTGAATAAAACATAAGTCACAATTGATTGACCTTTATATGATATTGTTTGATGATCATTTTCGAACAGAATTTATTATTCAAGAATGAAACGGAATATAGAAATCTCATTTCAATCAAAGGTGTGGGTGTGGGTGGAGTGTGGATGTGGGAGTGTGGGTGTGGGTTCAGATGTCGATCTCTTCTTTACCCACACCCACACTCTTATTTTGAGGATGAAAAGAAGTTCGTTACCCTGAACTAACAGACGATCCCCTTCTTGTTTGCGAAAAATGATCTGAAGCGAGTGTTGACGTCTATGTTCATTCAAATCTGAACTTCCGGTGATGGCACCATGTGTCATCATCCTTAGTATCATCTTCCCTTTTGTGTATCTTTCCCTTGATTGATGATTCTTGCGCTTATTGTTTTATTATAGTGTTTATGTACTAGTGCCTGACTATTATCTTTTTTTTTAGAGAGAATTCTATTATTGTATTTTGTGTGAGTATTACAGTTGTATATTACTTAACACTATTGTATTGACTTCTCTCTCTATTATTTATCGTCAAGAGAGAACTTATTCAAAAATTTATAACTATGCTTATAATAAACTTAAAATAAAAATAAGAATGATACAAGAAAATCTATTTTTTTAAAGGTTTTCTTAATAATGGTGTCTACATATTACCCAAAATACTATCCAGTACATAAACATAAAACGTGATACTTAGGACATACCAAAAGTAGTGAAGCCTGCATCTCAATTTCTTATAGAAGGCTTGAGTAAATTTTCTTTTTTTATGAGGTGATGGAGAAAATGAAGCTCTATTTTTTTGTGCTATTTCATCTCTATTTAACTGGTATCATAATAATAGAATTTCGATAAGAATTGTTTTTGCGTAAAACTTCACTAGTGCATTAGTACGCTTTCTATTCCAATTTCTAATCGTTTAGTACGTTATACTTAACAACAAAAGATACCAAAAGATGCAGCGTGAAAAGCTCTATAATTTACAAAGAACAATTTATTTTGTATTTGAAATAAGTAAAAAGAAATTTCTCTTTCCATGATTTTTTTCGGGCAACAAAGATTGATTACACAGAATTTTGTTTTCTGTTGACAAGGCGTCACAATTAAAACAAGCTTTATTATGTAGATTGTAGAGCTTTTCACGCTGCATCATTTGGTATATTTTGTTTTTTAATACAACGTATTAAGCGATTCAAATATTTAATCTACCTCACACGTCAGTGAAGTTTTACGCAAAAACAATTCTTATCGAAATTCTATTATTATGATACCAGTTAAATAGAGATGAAATAACACAAAACAATAGAGCTTCGTTTTCTCTATCACCTCATAAAAGAAGAAAATTTACTCAAGCCTTCTATAAGAAATTGAGATGCGGGGGCCACTACTTTTGGTATGCCCTAAGTATAATATTACTAATTTTCGGAACAACAATGTTTTTTTTCTTCTAAAACATGTTAAAAGTACAAGTTCATTTATTCATGCAGAATAAATCAATATATATTGATTAATGAATATTCTATTTTGCGAACGAAATTCAGATACGGGCAATAAAAACAAACTGAATATTCATCTGCGTATATTTAATGACTCATTGAAATTCTATCACTATTTTCTTATTATGCTCATTGTTGATATTTATAGAAAAGATAAAACAATTGCGAATGAGAAATTCAGAGAACGAAAAATGTTTTGTTTGTAATGTTCTTCTTTAGTCATAAGACGAAATGAAATGAATAATACTTTTCTTCTTTCTACTTAGTAGAATCGTATTACAGATGCCTGGAAAACTTAAGATGTGGGCTCATCTCTCTGTCAAACTAGATTATCTTTTTGTTCTGTTCTATTCTCATACCATCACGTTGTCATCTCGATAAGAATAGAGTGCAGTCATAGAAGGATAAGAGAATAAAGAAATAAAACTTAAAAGAAATAGTAGATATAAGAAGAAGAAAAATAAAATATAAATATAATGTGCAAATGAAAATTTCTTCTTAGTTTATCATTTTTCTTTCATTATTCAAATCAAATCATAAGAGGTAAGAAAAGAATTTCTTTTAAAGACTTGTATATATTTTATTAAACAGATTGTTATCAATATGCCACACAAACAAACATCATCATCATCAACAACAGCAGCAGCTGCTGCTGCAAAAGCAGCAAGGGAGAATCGTGCAAATCAATGTAATTCTAATCATTCTGAATATCGAGGTCATCAGCCGGGTTATCAGGGTAAAAGTAATAAAGCTGATTTAGATAATCATGCTCGGCAATTAGATCCAAACAATTCTCTATATCGACCTCCTAAATCGTAATGATCATTCAATAATACTATACGAACATTTGGTTTTTTTTTCGTTTTATTTTATTCATGCATTTGTTTTTTTTATTTTTCTTGAAAATAAATATCATTGATATTACTCCATGGAAATGTAATTAGAAGAATAAAATTTATAGCTGCATTTGATGAAGAAAAGAAAAGAAAAACAATGTCTAATTGCAGATTCACTTGAAAAATAGTTGATACAAAGAAATTTCAATGATAATTTAAAAATTTTTCTACTTACTATATAATTGCATATATTTCTACTTTTAACTCTTAATTAATTTTTACCATGGTGTTTTATTTTTAAAAAAAATGATAATATTCTTTTCTGATCTTTGTTTAAAAACTGATTCATCATAATAATAAATAATGAAAAAAAAAAACATTTCGTTTGTCTTTGAAGTTTTACAATGGATCTAAAATTTATAGTTGGATACGAAAGATTTTAGAATTTATTCTTAGTGCATATATTTACAAATTTCAATTTGAATAAATCAATTTAATGGCATTTTGAGTATGGTAATAAGTTAAATATGAAAAACAACTAAATATTAGAATAGTGAATGCTTTGTCTTATTTTTGAAATCAAATTAATTTTTAGAGTACATAAAATGTGGAAAATATCAGAAACTCTTATAAAGATCTATAAATATTTTCTCACCTGGAAAAAATTATTTTAACGAAATTATCCTATTCGAATCTTTACTATTTACGATAACAAGACAATTATTCAAGAAGATCAGATAATTCCAAGAGATGATTATTCAATTGTTGATACGATTTTTTAGCGTTGTTTTCCTACTTCAACATACAAGAAGTTCATTACAGTATGACCACGGTTACCAAATCAAAATTTCATAATCCAAAAGTTTCTCACTGAAAAATAAGTTGTTAACTAGAAGACTTTTGGTAAAAGCCAAAATATCTATATCTGGATAGGTGTGGGTGTTGTTCTTTTTATCAGGGCTACGAACACTCACACCCCACACCCTTCGGCTCACACCTCTAGTTACATCAACCTCATCCTATAGTTTAATATACATCTAAAATCCGTTACAATTCTGACTAGGAAAAATGGAAAATGGTTGTTGCATTTAAGAAAAAGAACTATTCTGTCTAAAGGTTAATTTTCTTATAATAAATATTTATCGACTTCCACAATAGTCTTTTTAAGCCAGAGAATGACATTTCTTCTTGTTTTAGCTAAATATTAGTGTTTCCATTTTGGCACACAGAAAATACTTCATAGTCTAATATTTTCTTTTTGTCATCCGAAACTTTAATGAATGGTACGGATACATTGTGAAAGAAATCCCAATAAGCCGTACTCTTCTATTCGATAGGAAGACATGGAGTATGCCATTGATCTTTCATATGAAAATAGTAAAAATTACTGGCATTTGGTGAAATTCCTAGTTTCTTCGTATATTCTTCTAATGTTATAGAATTGTTCATTGCTGCATTTCGTTGTTGCATATGATGTTTAATATCAATACAGAACTGTTTACAACATTCATATCCCTTTACTGTTTTTACCACTGGTTTCATAAATGAACATAGATAAGGCTGTTGTCGATACAACCGAATATTTGAATAGCACATCGGTAGCTTGATAATGGTAACATTCAGCTGTTGGGCACGTGCTCGTAGTGTTGTTTCCGAATGAAAATGAAATCGAAGTTTATGCGCAGAAGCATATAAAGAGCGTAATACATCTAGACGACCACGATCAGGATACAGAGCTGAATAAAGTGCAGAGTCAGTAATACCAAACTGATCATTGATACCTCCCCAGTGATCACAGTCTGGTACATAAAGTACATTTCTTGATTCTGAATATCGAGCAGTATAACGCATATCATATAAAACAAACGAATTTGTTGATAAAGGTGCTGTTTTATTAGGTTCAATGTCAAATAAACTATCCCAAAGATGAATGCGAAAAAGCATATCGTATCGCATACGAATAACCTATAGGAAAGGTATGAATTCATGATTATTTACACGTCATAAGAAAAATACAAATAAAAAAACTGAAAATGAGAATATATAGATTGAATTCATGATAGAAATCGATATAATACAATCATCATTTTCATCTATTCTCCTATCTTGAGCAATATCAACAAGAAAGATTGTATAGAGCTGTGCTTGGTTTTGGATGATATTCATAAGAAACATTCTTCTTATTCATTTCTTTTGTTTATTCTTCGTTGATGAGAAATTCATAAATAACATATTTCCCCAGTGACATTCCGTATCATTTCCTTCTAAGCTCAGTGATAGATTCTGGGTAGATCATACAAAAAATCAGCGTTTGTTCCTGAGGAAATAACAGAATCCTGGTACAAACGTGAAACCAGGAAGTATTCAAGATCTGATCAGGATTTGATACAAGATTTTCCAAATGATCCAACGAAATTCTCAAGGTTCAAGGAAGGACTCACTCAAGACTGTTCGAGGATTTCCTAAAAATTTTTTCGTTCCTCATTCAGTCTGTGATCGGTTGCGTCCGGATGTCTTATCACTTAGTACGAACGCTCTTGATTCTCGTTTCTGATAGCTACAAATGACCTAGATTCAATATTCACTAACAGTAGAGGAACTTAGCATTATCTTCGTAGGATAATATCAGAAAACACTAAACAGAACGAGAGAAGTGAACATATAGAGTATTGTTCTCTCGATCTCTAGTTAACATATCGATCAGCATACTGAGCTGAATTTTGATATATTGCTGTATATCATCTTCACATTCAATATATTGAAACTTGACTCGAATGAACATTTATATTTCAATTTTATATTAATATGAGGTATCTAGTAAAAATGATGAAAGTTCAATATCCACCAGCTATTGGGACTTATTTTTTCGGATTTTTCAATAAGCTTTTAAGCATTTCTGGATAAATCCCATGTTGTTCCTTAATATCTAGAAGACGAGAATGAGGATGTAGATAAGAGAGTAGATGCAGGAGAGGGTCTGAGTGTGGATAAGGGTGCATGTATTGATGCAGGTATGCTGAAATATTATCATAATTAATAAATTCTAATTAAATAACTAAATCTCCTAGAATAAATCCCGGTAGCCTCTCTTCATATAAACTTCAAAACAGATATAGAAGGTTTTTTCCTAGAAATTTCCCAATTGTCACTGTTTTTTTAATGAAAAGATCGAAAATTCTGTTTTGTTCCAAGTAACAACAAAATAAAACCTTGAAAAGTCTCTTATCTATGTTTCTTAACATTTTTACGAATATTAGCATTGAAATTTTGTTTTATTTCGTAGATTTATCAATCTTGAACAGATCTTGACCTGGACCTAAATAGAAAAAGTGCGGAAACCGTCTCATCTGATGCCTAAGCACATTCACTTACTAATCTTGATGAGATTCTGAAAATCAAATTCTGAATGATTCTAAACATAAATTCCTGAAAGCCTTATCTGAATCCTTGTACCTTCGCATCAAAATTCTGATCATACTCTTACTTTTCTTTAGAAGGCCAGTAAAAAAATTTCGTGCAATAATCGCAATTTTGATCGATTACGACGGTAAAAAATCGGATTCTTTTACAAGATAGATAGTTTTTCTCCAGCAATCCAATAGAAATAGATTATTATTCACAACCAATTATAAGTGCAATTATTTTCAATTAAATCTTTTAATCTGCAACCGATTTTCATCGATTTTGTAAATTATAATCCATTAATACACCAAGCAAAATCAACTATAATTGACTTTGATCATTTTTGTTCGATGTTAGGAAATTACATTAGTTTCAATTGATTTTAATCAATGAAATTCGACAAAAATCTCTCTAGTCAATGCCAACCATTGAAATGTCTTAATCGATTTCATTGAAAAAAATCTGTTGAAAATTACTCTAATTGATTTTAATCTTTGAAATCAAATTGAAGTCTTCTTAAACGATTTAAACCATTGTAACGTAACGGAAAATCTTTAATCAATTTTGACTAATCAAACTACGCGAGAAATCTTTTGCAATCTGATATAGAAATCAAGATTTTAAATGAATTATGATAGTTATGTACGTGTGATGTGAACTTTTTCTATTATCCATAAACATACATGTAATCATTTTATTTAACGAAATATATGGGTTTCTCAATAGTTTGTAGTGGGTGTGGGTGGGTGAGGGTGTGGGTGTGGGTGTGGGTGTGGGTTGAGGGTGTGGGTGTGGGTGTGGGTGTGGGCGTGGATGTGGGTGTGGGTGTGGGTGTGGATGTTTCTTTACTCTATCCACACCCACACCCACCCACACCCACACCCACACACACCCACACGCACCCACACCCACCCACACCCACACCCACACCCACACGCACCCACACCCACCCACACCCACACCCACACCCACACCCACACCCACCCACACCCACACCCACCCACACCCCGTAACGAAATCCGTCATCTTCATCCTTATCTCTTTCTCTATATTGACCTTGTGACCTCTGCGTCTGACTGCTGTTCATTGTCTACCTCTCCTATATAAGCGACTGTTCTATGCATGAAGAGGACAATTTGTGGTGTGCAGAAATCAAACAAAACGAGTATCACTATTTTACAAACACTTCTCTTCTTAAGTTCGTCACATGTCTTACTTAAACAGTTTATGTGTCTTAATTTATTTAGATTGAACATTAGATAACTGTTTCATTAAAAAAAAATGTGTGATTATTTCGATTGGCGAGATGATGGTAAAGGATTCGAGGTATCACTTTCTGGTTATTCACATGAAACATGCGTAGCACTTACTCAACCATCTTATTGGAAACAAGTAAATGCTGAATTAATCATAAAATAATATTTCTTATTCTATAGATATTTTATCTGTTAGTTAAAAAAAAAAGGTAAAATGATATCCATATCAGTAAAAGGCAATTATGTTCCTAAAGAATTCGAAAACATAATCTGGGATGATGAACCCCGAAGACTTGAACTTATCATTAAGAGCAAAGATGAACAAGACAAAAAAGCCTTACAAGGTTTGATTTTTTTTAAATATTTTATAAAATCAATAATTTTGAAGAAAATTTTCTCTTAAGACATTAGTTTTAAAATTTATGATCGTTTCATTTCGTTGCCAAAAAAAAATCCTTATCCACCTATACAAGATATACGTTGTAATGACCTGGTATGTATAAAAAGAGGTCCAAAGAAAAAATGTCAGAAAAAAAATAATATTGAAAGTGCTGTTAATGTAACTTTAATGCACATTATTCATATGTAGCTCCATGACCGAGTATGGAAGTGAACATGTGAGATGAAGTGACAGTGTGTTGAAACAGAATTAATTTCGCTTTCTGTACTATTTTTTTCGACATTTTTTCTTTGGCCAAAATTATGTAAATCAATTATCCTTATTACATAATTGTGTTTTCTTTATAAATTTAGTTTGCTGGTGCATATTCGATAGTATATGGATGTTTGTATAATTCTCTTCCAACATCAATATTTGATACAAATCGATATTTATTAGGTGAAGAGGTTTGTAATTTGATTTATAATAATGATTGTTGAATGAAAAAACGTTCTTTTCTTCTATTTAGAATTTTAAGATAAAAGAAATTGAAAAACTATGTGAAGTTTCGATTACTGTTGATCAATCAGCACCAAACTTGTATCGGTTTTTAATTTCGTAAGTATAACTAGAGAAAAACATTTTTGTATTCAATTCAATGTAATGAGTGATCGAAAAGTAATTTATTTAGTAAACGATCCCTTTCTTAACGTATTATTTGCAGTAAACTAACCATTAATATATCGCATTTTATAAAGAAATATTTGTTTCTTCTTTTTCATTCATTCTAATTGAAATAATATTCTCTTGTTTACTTTGAATCATTTGTTTTTTTTTTGATGCATTCAAATTTTTGAAAAGTTGATTTCGACAACTGTGAAAGATTGTCTTCTAATTCTCAAATTATCTTTGGAAAGAACACAAAATTCTGGTTCCAATCAAATGCTTTTACATTTCTGTACACTCTTTTCAGACTACTGAAAAATGAACGAATATTGTAGTCAAGTTACTCTACGATAATCAGTTACATAAACATTTTCTCGAACATGAAAAAAAAATGAAATTACAAATTTTGTTTTTTGACTTATTCTAGTAAGGCAAACGCAACTAATAATCTTCTTGCTATGGCTCTATTAGAAGGACTTGTGAAACAAGCACAATATCAGTATTTACTTACATTTCCTTTTTATCACAGATCAGCTGTAATAGGATTTGATATTCCAACTGACTACCATAAAGGACATGAACCGATGTTAGATGAATATTATTTTAATAAAGTAAGTCTATAGTATTTGATTGTTTTTATATGAATGTAAAATAAACTATTGATAGAATAAGGTTGATGGAAATGAGCAAATGGCAACAAGTAAGTTAAATCAAACTGTTAAAATTTGAATTACTATTCCCTTATTCTAGAACAACAAATGGATGATTCGAAGATGAATACTACAGATAATATAATTTATGATGAAAATATTTATCAAGATGAATCTTCTGATTCTGATTGACATTCCAATTAAATTTACCTCTTCAATATCGAATGACATGAAACATGTTTCTGCTTATTCATATATATCTGAAAATGTTCTTTTTTTCCACTATTAACTATGATACTGTGTAATATAAATCAAAAAATGCAGAAAAACTTTTTCATTATGTTATTTATTTATTTAGCTCATAGACATTTTATAAAGATAAAGGTGACTATTTCTGTGTCTATATATGTGATCCTACTCCCTATCAATCATAAAAATGTCAAAAAGAAGCTGTTGAATTTGAACCGATATCAAACAAATCAAGATATATAAAGTGTGGATAATGCAAAAATCGACTACAATTTTTTTTCGTGGATTATTTTTACATGGCTCGATAGAGTTATTGGGTTCTAAGAAACTGTGTATATTTGAAATTTTTTTCGACTATTTGTTTGTGATAACAATTTCAAAAAACTATTTAAAAAAATTCGATTTTTTACTTTGATTTTATTGTATAGAACAAAAAAAAATAGTCAATTTTTCAAGAAATTCAGCTATTTTTCATCAGCATTACCATTGAAGGAGATGGAAAATAGATTCATTTGATGCAGTACGAAAAGCTGCATCTAATGATATGGACTTCAAAGCATTGGCATGTAAACTTCTGAGATAATTATTCAGCATAAGAAGGCATCTTCGTCAAGAAAGCGATTGAACTACGCAAAAAAATTATGTATCCGTTTGAAAAAATACTTTACTGTTATTGAGAAAAGACATTTTTTCTATACCAGTAGTGTAACGAAAAATAAGGATGGACCGTTTCATTACTGCTGCAGCATTTATTTTATTGTAATCACAATGACAAACTGAAGGAGTAGCGTTACCGCCGTTATATACGAGAAGAGCATGCAGAAAAAGAGAGAGTTCACACGATAGGAAAGACTAAACAGACAGTCACTATCGGTCATGAGGTCAAAGCATTCAGCTGCATATTGATCGAATAGTCTCTTATCAATGAATCAATAGCTATAGAGGATGCACATAGGTCTTGACCCTATTATTGGCACAAGTAGGTATATATTAGGAAAATATTACAAAAATAGTATAGTATTTTGAGATTCTAAATATCAATACTTCATTTTCATGTAAAATAAATATCATATTCGGCACCAACACATAAAAATGCACCGAACATTTTATACATCATCGAAAAATAATTTCGAAAGAGTTTTCGTCTGTAGGAGACCACAAGGTAAAATTGATGGAACAAAAACACCTGAGGGAAGTATAGACAAACATTCGGAATTATTTTTCGATGTTGTATAAAGTTTTCGGTATATTTTTGCATGTTGATTCCGAATATGATATTTATTTTACATGAAAATGAACCATTGATATTCAAAATCTCAAAATACTGCCTTATTTTCAGGATATTCGCCTAATATATACCTACTGATATTAAAAAAATGCGTTTTCTATATGATGCCTCCTATTAGTTTCCAGGAAACTATATGGCTTTTCGAATATCAAATGACTATTCGGGAATTGCTGTTTTTTTTATAAAAGTAGAGGTCGCCTATCTCTCTGAGGATGAAGACGGAAAAATTTGGAACTATGGATGAGGAAGTTTCTACTCCTCTATAGAAAACGATTTCCATTTCCTGAAATTGAACCATACTCATTACACTTGACTTTCTAATAAAGCAGATAAATAAGGAGTTTCCCTGGAAAATAATAGAAAGTATCCAATCTTGTTTTCATATATTATATTTATCATTGAAAAATAATTAAAAATATCAAAAAAAAACTTGTAACATTGAATGTGTCTTAACGATTATTGATTTCAATTTTCTACTGTGATATGTCTATTTATTTATTTATTTATTTAAATATTTTATCGTTTTTATAGTAAATAATTAAATATAGATTAGGATCAATCATTTGCAGTGTTTGCACACTCGAAAAATAAATATAATCAATTTTTGAGTTTCCTAGTGAATTGTCTAAATTTCTGATAGATTGTTCTTGTTATTATATTAATTTTAATTATGGTATAAAAATAACCATTAGAGTTAATAAATTAGTTCTAATAATTATTAATACGTTTTTTTGATTTTGCATTGATAAAGAAACATTGAACTAATTAACAGTTTGATTTTCTTCGATATGAAGCAAAAAAAAAGATGAGTAGAACAATTTTTTTTCATTAGATTGTTATTATCTTGATACGTTAATAACTAAACTCTATGCGTACGAACATATTCCAGCAAATTAATAATCAAATTGATTATATTGTTTAAACAGTTTCTCAATATTTCAAAGTTAGTCTTATTGAAAAGACAATATACATAACAGTAATAGACAAAGAAATCATTAAAATATTGAGATTGGAAATATAACAACGTTAAAAGTATTGCTAAGGATTTAAATGAAGTTTTTTCGAGTTTCAAAAAATTATATTCTTGTTGAGTCAAATGATAAGAAGAAATATTTAAAATCAGTATTTCTAGTATAAACAATCTATAAGATAAATTATTCTTAAAAAAAAAAGACATCAACTGTTTGAAATAGAATTTGAATATATTAGATATAATACATAAAAATCTGTCAGAACTATGATCACGATTAAATAATAAAAAAAATATTTATGAATATGATAATTGATAAATAGAATAACACAAAAAAAGAAAAATTATTTAATCATATTGAACAGTATTGTTAAGTTCATTTTTAAGTTTTTATCGAATCGAGAAATATAGATGAAATTGTAAACGTATATTGAAATATATTTACTCTAGTGTTGAAGGTAAACTTGTTGAAATTATGAATTTAACTGAATTTTCATTAGATAATCATTTTCGTTGAATTGAATAGAAAGAATAAGAAAAGAGATCTCGATTATTAAGATGATATCAGAATATTTAAAAGTTGATTATTATAGTAAAACAACACAATTAAAAATTCTTAATATTATACTCTTGTTTATTTATATCAAAATAAAATATGAAAATATCTTGTTAGAGGATAAAAGCCAATTGTATTTGAGTAATTTTAGTCATATAAAAAGGGTGTGGGTGTGGGTGTGGGTGTGGGT